ACTTCTCCCTTCCCAAACTTTGTGAACATATTTTAGTCTTCTTCATTCTCCTTCACATTCCTGCAGCATTTAATACTTAACCAATCCCAATTATTAAAGGCTGTTGTCTGGTTTCGTTTTGCTTTTGTTTTTTTGAGATGAAATTCGCATAACATAAATCATTTTAAATAATTCCATGGCATCTAAAACATTCAGTTTTTTGGAAACAAAATCTCTAAGTAATTACAAAAAAACATTCATCACCCCAAAAGTAAACTCCCTTAACCACAATGCAGGTGCTAGCCATTTCCTCCACTCCCAACTCCTGGCAACCAACAATCTCCTTTCTGTCTCTATGGATTTACCTGTTCTCAATATTTCACATTAATGGAATCATACAATATGAAACCTTTTGTGCTTGGCTTCCTTCAGTTATCATAATTAAGCTTTATCCACATTGTAGTATGTACCGGTTTTGATTCTTTTTTGTAGCTGAGTAATATTCTATCATACGTATGTGCCACAGTTTGTTTATCCATTCGTCCATTAATGCTCATTTGGGTTATTTCCATTTTTTGACTATATGTACTTATTTGCTGCCACTTGTTTTTGACTATCAGTTCTTTCCATTTAAAGTAAGAAGATAATTTATAAGCGTACACTACTCAGATAGCAAAATTTTTTAGCTTGTATTACAATTAGCTTTAATAGATTTATTTTAATCTAATCAAGCTGGGTTATAGCCAATAGGATATGAGAGGAAGTCATATATGCAACCTCTAGGAGGCCTTTTATAAGGAAAGATAATATTGCTCTCTTCTTCCTTCTAATTTCAAAAGTTCATCCCAAGAGCCCTGAGCTTCTCTTATCCTAATTAAATTCCTTTCTGCTTGTCACTTACAGCAATTTTATTTACTGAAGATCTTATTGGATTCTGAGAGTATTTCTGAGATAGTACCACCCTGAGATTGGTGAGCGTAATTCAGGCAGATCTACAGGCTCTCATTTCAGTCCTTCCGCGATCTTCTACATAGTTTAGTAAATCTCATTTTTCCATACTTATTAATGAGCATACAAGATCAAAGAAAGTTTTTTAAAACCTTACTTAACATGGATTAGATCTAACATTTCCCTTTTTCTTTCAGTCTTATCTTCGTTCATAAGCGATTAGACTTAGATAACAAGAGGTATAATTATATACACTATACTCTTCTTCATATTTCTGATGTTCGCAAATTAACAATGATTTCTAAAATTTTTTCTACTATATTACATTGACATAGTAACCTTTACAATTTTCTAAAGTCATAATGGTGAAAATGTTTTCACAACAATAAGTTATTTCAACCAATATTTAGCACAATGTAATTTCACTAAAATAAAATTATATAAACAATTTAAAGGTTATGCCTACTTATCTATAAATTCTAGTGCCATTGTGGCATCCCAGAGTGGTTTTGTTTCAAAAATATTTTTTTTTTTTCAGACAAGGTCTCACTCTGTCACCCAGGCTGGAATGCGGTGGTGCAATCTCAGCTCACTGCAGCCTCCTCCTCCTGAGTTCAAACTATTCTCCTGCCTCAGCCTCCCGAGTAGCTGGGATTACAGGTGCCTGCCCCCACACCAAGCTAATTTTTGAATTTTTAGTATAGGCAGCATTTCACCATGTTGGCCAGGACGGTTTCAATCTCCAGACCTCTTGATCTACCCACCTTGCCCTCCCAAAGTACTGGGATTATATTCATTAATTAAATCATTCATTTAACTATCAATGAATGATTTAATTGAGGTCCTAGGGGCTCATGATTCCCTGTGAATAAGACGTACTGCCCAATCTAAATCAGTGAGAGAGACATAGACAAATATGCAACCCATGCACATATGAGATAGGTGCTTAATGGAGGAAAACAAAGTTCTGAAAAGAAGTACAGAGATGCAAGTAGTTAACTTTATCATGCAGCAAAGCAGACTGATTGGAAAAGGTTTTGAGAGGGTGTGACTTTTGGAATTAGAAGAAATTTAGTAGCTGGAGACATGGGGGAAAATATCCCAGTCATAAGGAGGAGCATATGCTGTGTTTATGAATGGCTAGTGTTTTGGTCTGATCATAGCAACATTTGTTCTGAGTAAGGAGACAGAAATGGGGGGTTACAAAGTGGCTGGATTTAAGAGTAAAGACTGACTCTTTGGTATAAGACTTACGGAGCAAATAGGGTAACTAAAAAAATATCATCCACCACAACTCAGAAAGCATTTAAGGTGACTTTGGCCAAGTTTTCAACCTTTAATCAGGACTTATAAAATTGAATTAATAAATCTGTTTCAATAGTTTTCCATTAAGTGTTCCTGCACACCTGCTTGGATTGTCCCCTCCAGTCTTTGTATTCCCTCTCCTTATTTCTTTTTTCTTACCTTCTTTTTAGTGAAATAGCTCTTTCTTAAAAGCATTAAATGCTTCTGCCTTTCTGATGCTTCATAACTTTAGATAATACTTGTGAAATACATTTTCTTGAGGTGTTTTGGGGGGGAAGTGGTTAAAAATCATTTGACTCAAATTTCTTTCCTATTGTGTGCACTATGGTCCTGGGAATATAAATCCAATTTGTAATTACTCCAATAGTCTCATCTCAGAAACTTTGCCTGACATCCCATTCCATATGTTTATGATTCTCTGAATGAAAAAGTGTTACCTGACAACCATTCAGATTTTTTCCTTTAATTTCCATTTATGCCTTATTGTCTTATAATGTTCAACTGAAAATATATGTTACAATATTGTGTGACATTATCAGTATTACTTAAGATTTTATATACCCATATATCAGCCAAACATCAGATAAATCTCACTATTCTCCTTTCGAAACATCTTTCTTCCTGGAAAAGTACAGGTAATAGATTCAATTTCTTCTTCATGACAAGTTGACTTTAAGCATTTCTTACAAACTGAAGATGAGATTCAATTTGCATTTTGGTCTGAATTATTTTTAAATGTGAACTGGAAATCGAATTTGGCTTAACGCTTGTGCAATTGAAGCAATGGTGCTAACTGCATTACTTTTAAGATTAAGCTTATTTCAGGGTTGATTTTAAGAAGAGTGTTAAGGCAAGACACAAGACTAATTTGAAGGTCTTGCTAATAAATAATGTTGTTAGAAAAAAGGGGGTATTCTGATGATTTGTAATCCTGCAATAATGGCTTCTAAATAGTTAAGATTAGTTTGAGAGATGAGAGCCTTTCCACCCTCTATGCCATATGCCAGCAGGGAACAGAAATCAATCTTGTGAGGACTCTGATTACTTCTGCTGCAAGTTTCTTGTCAGCAGATTCAAAATGTGCAGGGCAATGAATCTTCCACAAGGTAGAGGTGCTGCCCATCAGCTGGAAATCTTTTTTCCCAACTTCTGGTAGAATATCTGCTCGTGATAAATTAGAAGGAGAGGGGAAAAAATAGAAAACCATTTGGTGCAACAATTTTAATCCTGTGTTATCAGTACAGAGAGAAAGTGACACTAGTTCCTATGGCTTTGAAATGAAAAATGTACCATTGGAGAGAAGAAGCTTGAAACTTAAGGAATAAATAAAATAATGATCTTAGTCATCTTAAAATACTATGCTGCTTAATAAATGACCAAGGGAGGACCACATTAAGGATTGAGACCTGAATTAACAAATACTAATGTCTGAAGCAAGATGTCTAGATTTTGGAGCCACATTGGAAGCAATGAGGAAAAATACATTAAAGTTTATACTAGAAGACACAGGGATTGGAGCAATGAGAGCAACAAGGACAATGTGGTAGACAGAATCGTTTCTGGAAATGTTGCTTTTAGGCCCATATGAGACTTCTGACCTACAAAACTGTGAGATAATAACTGTGTGTTGTTTTAAGCCCCTGGGTTTATAGAAATTTGTTAAAGCAGCAATCGAAAACTAATTAGTCAAGATATAAAAAGATGAAACAATAAATAAAATTTAGCTGTATATTAAAAATATCCCATGTTATCATTGCTCATGGAATGCTCTTATTATTGCTTGTGAAGATACTTCGGAGCAACCTTTCTGGTTGTTTCTGTTTATCTTCAAATAGTTTTCAAACACACTAAAATTATATATGCTTCCTGATCTAGAAATTGTGCTTCTAGGAACTTAATAAAATAATTAGGGAATAATAATATACAAAGGTGTTCGAATAACCTAAAATTTAAAATAGCTTAACTGTTTCACAGTGGAAGTAATTTGAATAAATTTTGGCATACTCTAAAACAGCATACTATGTAGTCACTAAAAATCCGTTAAATGAAAACATAGAAATTAGAAAACTATTCTCAATATGTTGAGTTGACATCAGGTACAAAATATTATACATGGTTTGATAATACTAATATATAATACTGGGTATGCTGGTGTATGATAGTGATTTTTCATACATATCAGCAAATACATACATGAGTAGTGAGTATGGGTGTATGGAATGCATTTTTATCTTAGATTCATAAAAACACAAAATTGATCTTTAGATATAAAATTTTTCTACCTATAGATGTGCGCATGTGTGTGTATAAATTTATGTTTTTATTACTTTTTAACCAGCTGGCAGTAGAAATACAAAGTATACAATTGTCTGTATGTGTAAGCTGTCCTCTACCCAAAGTTGTGAAGTCCACCTCATTCTGGAAAGGAAAAGTATCTACTAAAAAACAAGGAAACTCAGAGTTATGGTGAATTGTATAAATTTTTCTCTGGGCCCAGGTCACTTAAGCCCAATATCAGTCACCAAACAGTTCTTTGAAAAGCCTGCAGTGGGTGGGGGTGTAAAATACTAAAATGTTTCCAGATAACAATCTGGAAAAATATAGCAAAAGCCTATAATACTTTTAAAACAAATAATGCCATTTCTAAGAATCTAATGAAATAATAAGCAAAGGTTCTTACAAATAAAAATATTCATTGAAGATGTATTGATGTAGAAAAAAGTAGCAAACAATCCTAATGTCCAGTAAGAGGGTAATTTAGTAGTAATTTAAAATAATGTTTTCAAAGAACATTTAATTACATGGTAAAATGTATTCAGCATGCTGCTAAGTGAATAAAAGCAGACTGCAAAATTAAATGCACAACATAATTCCAAATTAGAAAATAGGAAAATATGCCAAATCTTAAGAGCACTTATCTCTGGATAATAGAACTGGGTTTTAGATTTTTGAACCATGTGTGTATTTGTGTGTACTTTGGGGCTTCCATTTCTTGAACCATGTGTGTATATTACTTTTCGAATTAGGAAGACAATGTTTGCCAGCCCGAGTGCCCCATACGTTCTGGAAGTCAGTTAGATTATCTACCAAAATCCAACTAAACAAGAGAGTTCCTTTCTCCCTTGACCTGCCGGCCTTGCCATTCCCTGATATTTGGTAGTCCTTGATATTTCATGACTTTGACTTGAGAATTCCTCAGGAAGTCCATGGAAAAGTCTCTTTAGAAACACTAATAAAGACCCATGACCTTTCTATAGGAAATGCATCCTTTCCTCCCAGACTGAATCTGACACTAGCCACAGCAGAGGTGTCCAGCATAGTGCTGGTAACAGAAGTTAGACCTAACAGCAAAGGCACACTCTGCAGTAGTCCCCAGAGGAGGGTTTGCCCTGGGCCTCAACTTTGCCTTAGGAAGAGCCCACCACACAAGAGAACACTGTTACAAGCTTTCCACTAGGTAAACTGATATCCTTAAATTGTTTCTGGCCACAACGAGCGATTAGAGAAGGATCGCAATTTGAGATTTATCTGTCCTAGGCTCTGGTTCTCTCCTGGGCCCCGCATGCTTCATCATCTGTGTTTACAGCAATAGGTATTAGGATGCAAACTGGTACCTTGTCAGGCCTTTTGAAAGTAATGAGATTAAGAGCCTTGAGAACGTATTTTCTCCAGCACCTAAAAGAGAGGGCCTCCTCCTCCACATGCCCCCTACCACATCCAGCACAAACCCTTGCACGTAGTCAGTACTCAGTAAGCATTTTTAATTAATCGAATGACAAATGGCACTTTTGAAAGAATTCTTTACAGGGTTTGTAACGGCCACTTTCAGTGTGTATATGTGTATGTGTAGGGTTATAAAGTCCCTTTTATTCTAATGGTCATGCAAGATGGAAAAAAGTAATAATGTCTTCCTTTTTCAAGGGTTTACTGAGCCTCAGATAAAAGGAAAGAAATAATTCCATCTCATTCTAAGGAAACTACAGAGTCTCAGTTCAAGAGATCAAAGCTGCATTAACTCTTCCCGTTACTGCCATTTACCATTTACTATCATTTAGTGCTCTGGAAAAGGTAATCTACTAAATAGTACCCAAGTGTCCTGACAATTTATTAAGTGAGCAATTTATTCTTTTCTCGCTACTAAGATCAAACCTTTCACCATTCAAATTCTCCACATTCCTCAGAGATAACAAGGTGGGAAAATACTCTTGTCTTAGAGATAGGAAAACTAAGGTTGAGTCTTAAATCAAATTGGCACAAGAAAATAAAAGGAAAAAAGAAAAGAATTTTCCATTGCTCATCCTAATTCTCTAGTACACATTCTTTCTTCTCTAAATTCAGAATTGAGTTATTTGAGCTGTAGTCTTCTATTTTACCAAATCTGTATAAAACAAGAGCTGTATTTTGGACTCCATAATAATAGTGCTGGTTCACAGCACTGTGAGAAATAGATC